ACCCCCAAGGACTTCCCCGCCCCAGCTCGTCCGCATCAAATCCTCTCTGTCGGACCCCAAGGTCGTCGCCCAGTTTGTTCCCCAGGCCCTAACCGTTTAGGCTTTTCAAAGATCCCCATCCTTCACTGGTTTCGTGGGGATCGTCTTCATTTATACAATCACGGCTTGATCAACGTCTGTTAACTTATCTTGCCTCTCACCGTCCCATTATAGTCTCCTCACTAACAAAGCTTGGCTATCCACATAACCCTCCTTGCAATCTATCCACAAGCCCGCTCCTCCCACCCTTGCAGGATACACTATCCAGACAGCCTGTTGAATTTGTACGGAAGCATGGCAGTAAGCGACTCGCCCGAGGAGGAAACGGGGATCCACAGCCTGCCGACGGTACCCCAAGACCCAGCGAGAAGTTCCGAGCCACCAACCAAGGCCGACTCAACGGGAGAAAAGGTGACCCCATCATTACTTGGCCAATCCAAGCACAACCCCCGCTCGCCGAGCTTTAACGTCGAACATGCCCTGGCAGACGCGATGTACGAGCGGAGCATCGGTAGCATCGCAGCTCTCGAGTTCGTCCGCTCTCAATCCTTCACCGAGTTCCCCCGCTCCGACTCCTCGGACCCCTCCCGACCTTCATCCGAACTTCCGCCCTCCGACACACTCGTCCTCGAACCTGATCAGCCTAAGTCAGTTTCTCCTGATACTGACACTCCTGTAAACGCCCCGGTCAATCGTGGCTCTGCAACAACTAGACCCCCTTCAACGTCTGATACGACGGCTCTTAAACAACTCCAAGTCTATGGGGTTTGGAATGAGTCTCATGCTCCTTCCTGAACCCCCGGGTAGGCTCTGGAGAAGATGGCCGACCGGCTGGATTCCCCCAGGGTCTCTACTACAACTAGCTCACTCACTCGAAGCCACACCGCAACCGGCACCAAATCTCCTAAATGTCTCCCCCAACCCCATCCAATACCCCTCAACCGGTGAATTTCATCAACCTCAACAGGCTGGTAGCAACCTGATCAGGAAACAATCCCGTCAAGGTCCCAACACCCATCTCAAATTGAGTCCGCCTCTACTCATCCCCTCACCAGCCGATCTCCAGGCCGGCCTACCATCAATCCCCAACACCCAACTATCTTAGGATGACCTCAAGAAACCCGGGCGAGGATGACCTCAAGAAACCCGGGCGAGGATGACCTCAAGAAACAATGGTGAGGATGACCTCAAGAAGCGCTGTCGAGGATGACCTCAAGGAACAATGGGGAGGATGACCTCAAGAAACCCGGGCGAGGATGACCTCAAAGAACAATGGCAAGGATGACCTCAAGAAACCCAAAGATGGATGACCTCAAGGAATGATGGCAAGGATGACCTCAAGAAACCCAAAGATGGATGACCTCAAGGAATGCTGGCGAGGATGGCCTCAAGAAACCCAAAGATGGATGACTTCAAGAAACGCTGGCAAGGATGACCTCAAGAAATGCTGGCAAGGATGACCTCAAGGAACCCGGGCAAGGATGACCTCAAGAAACGCTGGCAAGGATGACCTCAAGAAACCCAAAGATGGATGACCTCAAGAAACGATGGCGAGGATGACCTCAAGAAACGATGGCGAGGATGACCTCAAGAAACGATGGCGAGGATGACCTCAAGAAACGATGGCGCGGATGACCTCAAGAAACCCGGGCAACGATGACCTCAAGAAACCCAAAGATGGATGACCTCAAGAAACCCAAAGATGGATGACCTCAAGGAACGATGGCAAGGATGACCTCAAGAAACGATGGCGAGGATGACCTCAAGAAACCCGGGTGAGGATGACCTCAAGGAACGAGGGTGAGGATGACCTCAAGGAACGATTGCGAGGATGACCTCAAGGAACGCTGGCGAGGATGACCTCAAGAAACGATGGCAAGGATGACCTCAAGAAACGATGGCAAGGATGACCTCAAGAAACCCAAAGATGGATGACCTCAAGGAACGATGGCGAGGATGACCTCAAGAATTACCTCAAGGACACACACACAACATTGACTCACAAGCAAGCTTGGGGTCCACACAACCCAACACAAACAACATGTAAGCAACAATAATTACCTGTATTGTTCTGCTTATTCGCACTTCAGTCCCTGAGGGAAAAGCCTTCAAATCAATGCAATGGGAACCATCCTTGAACATCTGATTAATCTCAAAACTCATCTCTATTTATGTGGAACCCGTACATTTGCAGGTCCCAAATCGCTTCCCAACAAACCTTCCAGGCTTAGTGAGTTCTCACTTCCTATTTGGCAAGTATTTCTTGACCCAACTTAATCCAGCATCTGTTTCTTTAGATCACACTATGTTCCGGATCAAGTGAGATTCAAACAATTGGTATCAACTCCTTTTTGAAGGCTGATGCGCCCATGATGAACTCCATCAATCAGTCTTGAATTTTCTCAAGTTTTCTTTGGGACGAAGGTATGTTGGATTCATTTGCCACTCTACCGTGACAGAGTTGTAGAGTTGTGTCGTAATTGGGGTACCAAATCTGATCCTCACTTTTCTGGTTATCATAACGGAAATGAATCTAAACCAGGATACGGACACATTGCAATTACTAGCGACGATGTTGAGAAGACCTGGTCGGTCGGTGGCCATTTTCTCTGCCAAATAAGGTCTCCTCTTTCAAAACCTGCGGTGGACTAAAGAAGCTTTGACTGTGGGTTGCCTCCTGTAGCTTTCATCCAGGATCCTGATGGCTATTGGATCGGTCAGCGTCAAATTTCAAGAACAATCTTTTTCACAAAAGAAACCCAATGATAATTATCATTTATCAATCAATCACTTTTTCCAATCTGTGTAATGTTCGATGGCTTCAGCTTTGGGGAGAAGTGTAATAATAATTTGATGACAATGCTGCTCAGTTCCTTGGGATTATTCTATTTTTGTTTCAGGACTGCCTTGAGTATTTTAAAATTGAATTGATTTTATTCAACTTATATGAAGGATTTCCATATGAATACTCCTCATGAGTATGAAAAATGCACCAGGGTTTAATTGAACCTGAAAAACCTTGTCTGATGGTACATTTAATTTCACTTCTATTTATGGTAAATCTCAAAGAAGGCATACTTGAACAAATTGGAAACTGTTAAAATAACACTGCAATTCAAATCTCACACCTATCCTCCTGAGTCCTAGACAGTTCATCTTGATACCAGGGGGTGAGCTTCCTTCTTGGAGATTGAAAAACAGTTCTTGGAGAACAAAACTTTTGGGGGTATATTGTTTAATAGAAGTAATCAAAATACAAATGTTTAAAAAAAAGTTCCTCTACAGTGGTGTTTACATCAAACTAAAAAAAAAAAAACATGAGGAAGAATTCAAGATTTGTGAACCACTCCTCTTATTGTACCAGATTTGACAGAGTATACTCTAATTCAATAGTGGTTAGATCTTGCAATCAATTATCTGAAAAGCAAACCAAAATATATTTTTCTTTTTGAAGAGTGGACTTACAATTTATTGTACCTCATTGTAATTTAAAATTTGTTTATTTTCATATCTTCAAGAGAGAAGTACAATCACTGAAAACAGGCATACTCCTTTAGATTTCCTCATTTTCAACCTACATCAGAAGGTGGAATGCTTTTATTGGTGTTTTTAATACCAAACCTTCCAAAAATTTGAATCCCAGGAACAATACAAAATTATCCCAGTTAGGGTGAATCAATTGTTGAGAAATCAAAATTTCAGTTGCAAAACTCAATTCAAAATATGATCACATCCCCCAATGAGACCTAGTCATTGAAACCAGAAACAATAGTTGAAAACAGTGAAGATTTTGGAAAGATTCTTGTCAAATTTAGTAACTTTGAGCAGATTGATACCTTTGAAAAAACTGCTCCTAGGTCTTTTTTTTTTTCTACATGGACTTCAAAATCAAATTGGAGTACTTGAAAAAACAAACTCATGAATAATGAAGATTAATTTTTCTCAACATCAATTTTCTTGGTTGAATGGTGAAATTTGGGAACCATTTGATTTTGATGTGACTGTTTCCAGACTTATTGGAATATCTTTTTTATTCTTCCCTGATAGATATCCCCATCACTCATATCTGATTGACTACCAGGTGTGTAATATATATATCAAAAAAGAAAGCCTTTTTCATTTGAATTTTTGGCCATCTTCATCAAAGTGTTATGGTTCTCAAGCCAGATGTTTATTTTTAGAGAGGGTGTCCTACATCAGGACTGTTATGAAGCAATGCCCCATGATTTGATTTTCAGCAACAAGATATAATCAGAGAGAGGATAATTTCATGCAATTTCACAGGAATTTACAAAGGGTCTTAGCTAATCGACTCCCAAAAAGTGGAGGATCGAATCCCAAACCCCGAAACCCCCGGAATTTCCACCGAAATCCCCGAGGAATGGGAGCCGATCCCCCAAACCCGTCAGCGGGTTTGGGAGTCGAAAAACTACTAATTTTAATAAAAAAAAGGCCAACCCCCGAAGGAGTTGGGGGTCGACGTCCCAAAACCCACTGGGTTTTGGGTGTCGCTTACCAAAAAGAGCCCGCAATGGCCGGGAGGATTCCTCCCGGCCGCTGATGGCACACCCTCAGCGGCCGAGAGAAACACTCTCGGCCGCTGAGAGTGTACACTCTCATCGGCCGGGAGGAACACTCTCGGCGCAATGAGAGTGTAC